TACCACATATACTTGAAAAACAATGGTTAGAAAAAGATTTTCTTCAATATAAAGATTTTCTTGCACAATGTATACGTATTAATGAATGGAATATTCTTGGTATGACAATAAAACAAAAAAATGGTGAATGGAGAATTGATTTATTTAATTCAATTAATCTTAAAAGAATATATCGAAGTTGTTCATTAGATCAAAATATACCTGGAATGAGAAATTGTTTACTTATGTCTTATAATCGTTTATGGATTGTTATTAATAATTGTTCAATATCTGAACAAGTTATTTTACTTGATGAAAATGCTCGAATTAAAACAAAAACACATATTGATAAAACATATGGATGTTTTAATCTTTGTTTGATTGGTAATGAATGGATTGTAATGAATTTAAAAGATAAATTACGACTTTATAAGATTCAATAATATAAGTTTTGTTTGTTTGGTTTTTTTTTATTTAAATTTAGATCGTTATCAGACTTTTTTTTTCTATATTTAGAAAAAAACGAACATAAAACTATTTATTATTAAATTTAATTATTTTATTAAAGAAAAATATTTGAAATTTTTGTTTATTTAATAATAAATAAATTGTGCATAATTCAGTTGTAATCTAATGAAAACGGGAAAAAAAAATGGCAATAGGATCTAACAGAGTTTGACATTTTTTTTTTTCAAAGACTTTTGCATCACTTATTAAATGTAATTTACTGTTATAATTAACATTGTAAAGAAAATCAGCTTTTATTTATAAAAAGATTATAATCATGACTTTTATACTAAATTTTCAATGCTATGAATAGGATCAAAAAAAAAGTTCTTTTTATAGATACTCTAAAACTTTTATGATGAATGAGTATAGATTTATTTATATAGTGACATTAAAAAAATGATAACCTATTTTTGTTTTTGATTTGTTCTAACAAAATTCAATAATTGATAGTAAAAATCAACTAAATTATATTTATATTTTCAGCAGATAAAAAATAATTAATCAAATTATTCAATTATTATTTACTATCTCAGTTTATGTAACACATCGATCATACGAGAATAAAAAAAAAACAAAACCTATATTTTTTTTCAGACGAAATGTCTATTAGTTAATAGAACAAATCGATATTTTTTTTTTTTATTGATAATTACATTAATGGATGAAAGTATACATATTTGTTTACAACTCTTTTTTTTTCTTTTGTTGATAATACAAATATATTCAATTTGAATAAATGATTAATTTAAATTCAAAATATGATTTTGATATATCAACAAAAATCTTTTCTCGAAAGTTAAAATTATATCACATGACATGTATTTTTCAATTAATACAAAACGAAAGGGAAATCAAAAAAAAAAAAAGGAAAGAAATACACACAAAGACAAGAAAGAAAAAATGCGAAACAAAATAATTATCTTTTTTTTTCTTAAATATTTAAACTTAAATTCGATCCAGGTACATTTGAATTATTATTGGAAGTATTTGTATTAGATGCTGTTTGTGTTGTTGGTGATAAACGTGGTGATGATAATCGATTAAGTGGTTGAGTTGAACGTGATAATGATAAACCTTTTGAACGTAAATGTATTTGTCCACCATGACATATTAAACGTTTTTCAATTTCTCCAGCTGTTAAATTATCATCAAGAATTTGTTCACGACCATTTGAACGTATCCACATAAAAACATACGATGATGATGATGATGATGATGATGGTGATGATGATGATGATGATGTTGATAAAGATTTTAATAAAATATTTTGTTGTTTTAAAATTATTTTTAATAATTCATTTAATGTTATCATTTTATTTGTACGTAATTTAAATGGTGTTAATGTATTTGATGTTAATATAGGAATGTAAAATGTTAATTCAATTGGATCATTTGATTCACTTGTTGATATTGATGATGGACGACTTGTTAAAAATCGATCAACATTATTTAAATCATGATCAATAAAACCACTATCAAAATTTTTAATTAATGATGTTTCATTTAAAAATGATGCTGATAATGATGTTGATGTTATTGTTGTTGGTAATGTTAATGTTGAATTTGAAAATTTAACTGTATGTAATTCAGAATCAGATGCATAATTTGATGATGAAGAATCAGTTGTTATAATTTTTAATTGTATATTTGATGATGGTTGAAATGTTAACCATGATTTAAGTGATATACCAGCATATGATTTATCTTTTGCACAATTTATAACATCAACAAGCCAACGTGATGAACGCCATATATCATCTAAATCTTGTTGACATGATAATAAATGATTAAGACGATAACGTGATTCATCTAATTCATTTATTGAAAATGCTTCACGTTGACTTTGTTGTGCACATATTAATTCAAAATCAAGACATATTGATACACGACTATATTGTGATATAAAACGATAATTATTACTTAAATGTTGTACTATAAAATAATATTAAAATTATTTTTCTTTCTTTTGATAAATAACAAAAAAAAAAAAAAAACTTACAAACTTCAAATATATACACAGGTAAATACATAAATGGTGTTAAACAATCATTTGATATTGAATGACGTTGATTTGATGTTGATGGAGTTGAAAGTATATTAACTTCATCAGCTGTTGACATTAATATTATTAAAGAAAGATCATCACGAATTTCAACAACTTGAGCATCATATATTCGACTATTTGAAAAATGAGTTTCTGGAAGATCTAAATAATAACATATTAAATTATATTTATTTTATTGATAAACATTTCAATTATATTATAAATAAATAGAAATTCAGATTAAGAAATAGTTTAATACAAGTATAAATTTTCCTACTTGTACTCAGATATAAGTACTTAACCTATGACTTACATTTACTATAACATATCGCTGATAATTTAACAACAAATATGTAATCAACGATAACGCTATTTGTTTTTTCCTATCCTATTCATACTCGCGGTTGCAGTATTCTCATTCAAATGTTATTGAATTATTTTTTGTTAGAAAAATATTGATTCTTAAAAATTCAACTTACTGAGCATAAGACACAATTCTTTAGCAGCTTCTTGAAATTGTATCTTAAAAAGTGAAAGACCATTTTCATCATGTACATTTTCTGTTGTTGTTTCATCATTATTATGATTAATAGAATTTTTATGTAACCATTCCCATTCTTCTCTATAGACAAAAACAAAAAAATCAATTAAATAAAATTTTAAATAATAAAAAAAAAAATCTTTTTTTTTTTTTTCTTTTAATAACCTTGATACATTAGCTACAGAACGAATTCTTGTACATGGTAGTGAACCAGGCATATATTTATTAACCATAACACGTACACAATCAACACTATTTTGCATTTTTAAATAAGCAACATATAAACCAGAATCAAGACGACGCATTGATGCATGATAAAAATCAATCATATCCTTTTTTTTTTGTTTAAAAAAAAAAAATTATTATTAAAGAAAAATAAAAATTATTTTCATACCGGGAGTTTATCGGTGATTTGTTGAAGTGAAGAATTATTTGTTAATGATTCTGTTTCTTTGGTTGTTTCATAAAATTTTGTTATTGATATCCATTTTAAATTTGGTGGACAATTATTTATTCGTGTATCACTTGAATTATTTGATGATAAATCATTAATTAATATAAATGCTATATTTCCATCGTTATCACGAATATATGTATGATGAAGACGACCAAGATTATTTATTTCTTCTAATGTCTAAAATAATTTTTTTGTTTTTTTTTTGAAGAAATTATTTTATTAATTTACTTGAAGTTCAATAGCAGCTTGAACAAGTTTCATTCGAAGATAAAATGTTGTTGCACTTGAACATCGTTCGAAATCAGGTCTTAATGTTTTTAAATCATCCCAAACAAATGTTAATTTCATAAACCATTGAAAATCTCCTAATAAATTATGACCATAATTTTCATCAACTTCAACCATAGGTAGAACATCTTCATTTGTTACTAAAATTTTTTCACCATTTAACATAACTGATACTAAATAAAGACCTCTGAAACAAAAAAATAAATAATTAATTTTGTTTTTTCTTTTTTTGTTATTATAGAAAATTTCTACCGTTTCATTGTTTTAGCTAAACGAGGATAAAGTTGAAATAATTGTCGAAGATTTCGTCGAAGATTTCCATAACTTCGACGACGAGTTCTCATTGAATTTACAGACATTGACATTTCAGGTGATTCTAAAATAGACAAAAAAAAAAAATATATATATATATATAAATTAAGACATTTTCTTTTTTGTTTGTTTTTAACTTTAATTAATAATATAACTATTCTATTTCTTAGATTAGTATAAGTACTAAACTGAAAGTCAAAAATAATTGAAATAGAAAGTATAGTGACATAATTCTTTTGATTGCTAGAAACTATTTAAAGAAGAAGAAAAAAAAATACACTATGAAATCTTATTAGTTATTATGATAGTAATATAATCTTCTTTTCTTTTAATGAAGATTTTTCTATTTCTATAGAATTTAGTCAATTAAAATTTTACCATTTCCATCGAATGTTCCATTATTTGTATAATATGTATTTGATAATGCTGTACCAATACCTCCACGTTCATAAATAATTTTTTCTGGTCGTATTTTATTAAGAATTTCTTCAAAACGTAAATCACATACATTTGGACGTGATGTTTTTGAAAATTCACGCCAACCTATTTGTTTTTTATTTAGAAAAAAAAAACATTTTATATTTTTTTTTTTCAGAAATATTTAAATTTACTTGATGGAACACAATAAGGTGGATTTGCAATAGCTGGTGGACCAAATCCACGTAGATTTCCAGCTGATACACGTACATAACATTTTTGTCCAATAGGTAAATCTCGAATAACATATTCACGAAGAAAACAATTTTTAACAATATCACTATGAATAATACCATCAGATGAAGAATTTTCATCAAAATTTTCATTTGTACACCATTCAACTAAAATAATAAATAAAATATGATTAAAAAAAAAAAAAAGAAGAGATAAATTTATTTTTATACTTTTATATTTAATAACCATAGCTCCATTAGATCTATGTGGTTCATCATATGTAACAGTGATACTATTTGAACCAGTAACCATTAAACGAACATTTGTTGGTGCATCTGGAATGCCTAGAAAGTCAAAACAAGAAATAAGAACACTTCTGTTGAAAATTATTCATTCATCATCATCATCGTCGGACATTCATCAAAACAACTAAGAAGTTTGGTTATGGACGGAAATTAATTTCTAAGTAATTAATCAATACGATGGATTTATGACAGTTTTGTTTTTTCTTTTTTCTTTTTTATTTTTGACATTGATAACTTACGCTTTTGATATTTTTCTTGATGATAAGAAAAATCTTTGGATAAAGTTGGTGTATTTAATGAAGATGTCGATGATGATGATGGACTTTCATATAGAAAATTTCCACTAGATATTGAAGATTTTCGACGAGTTTTTGTTATAAATCGAAGTGCAGTTTTAACAATTAAAGCACGAGAACGAAATTTTTTATTACCATCCATTCTGTTTTTCTTTCTTTTTTTTTTTTTTATGAAATATTATATAAGAAAAAATATATTTGTACTCTTAGATAAGGATCGTGTAGAATAATTTATAATATGTCTACAACTCAGTTGTGCGTGTCTTGTTGTTGATCACACAAAAGAGTAATATACGAAAAACGATATACTGATGTGCTTAATACCTCGACAATGAGTTCTTCTTTAACATTAAGAAGAACAACAACGAAGAGAAAGAAAGATTGAAGAAAAAAAAAACAAATAATCTAGTGAGAAGAAGAAGAAGAAAATATATATATAATAATAGTCATATTCAACTAGATGAAAAAGTAGTCATACTGCTTTAGTTACTGATTTAAGTCATGAGAATATATATAAGTAATAGAGAAAAGAAAAATGGCTTCCAGTAACGATTATCTTTTTCTCTATTCGTGTACATTATAGAAGGATAGGTTTTTCTAGCTTCATTTGTCACGGATCCTATTATGTTGATGAGATATAACTGACTAGAAGGTGAAAAAAGTAAAAACAGAATGAGTTCGAAAGAAATCTAATTAAACGAGAGTCTTATATATATGACTGAAGACAGAGAGAGAGAGAGAGAGAAAGAGAGACACCAACAGCAAAAAAAAGAAGAGGAAAAATGCGTCATTATTGCGAACTATTTTGATTTCTATTCTTTTATTTTTTTTCTTGTCGGGTCCCATCATTAAATAGCCTTATTATATTTAATATTGATTGTTATAAAAAAAAAGAAGAGAATCATAGCGGAAATGAGAAAATATAAAATAGTTGAACAGATGTGGTAATCTTTTATTTCTTGTCGTTTTGTGTTCAATAAATTTTTTCTCATTTTGTTCTCACCTGCTTGTTCGTAATTATCTTTCATTTGTGTCAAAGTTAATGTACGTTGTTGATAAAATTGTTGCTGTTGTATTTGTAATTGTTCTTGTTGGCCTTTGCTTATTCGACGATGACGTTGTTGAGTGTCATTTGACGGTGATGAACGACGTAACTAAATTCATTTATTATATAAAAACGCCTACGTAAATATAGATATTACATACTTGAACATCATCCGTTGTTAATTTATTTGATGAAGATTTTTTTATAGTTTCATCAATATTTTGTTGAGAAAGAATTATCAATTGATGACAAACACTTTGATAACGACATTCTTCAGGTTGAACTATAAAATCATAATTATTTTATATTATATTATATTCGAATTCATTTTTTTTTATTCTACATACTTTTCGTACTTTCTTCACCACCATATTCAACAAGTAGTTGAATCATTGGAATATTATTTAACATAATAGCAATATCTAATGGACACCAATCATATTCATTATATCTATAGACAACAAAAAAAAAGAAGTCATAGAATAAAAATTTTTTCTTGTTTAGTTTCGCCTAAAATATATATGTTTAAGAAGATTATATCGAAAGATTGAGATGATTTCCGTTATGCAGGCTGACTTATTTGTGAAATATATAAAGGATGTTAAAATGTCATCAAGTTCCGTTAAAGGAAAAAAAAGAACCAAGCAATAGATTTTCTTAATCTCAATTTCCGTTTTTTTTGAAAAAAAGCAAAACAAAACTTAACTTACGAATTAACAAGATTTTCATTAGCTTGTAAAAGTTGTTTTGTTGTAAATAAATCTGAATCTTCAACAGTTTGAAAAATATCTTCTAAGTAAAAAAAAAAATAAATAACAATTATTTATTTATTCTTTTCTAATTACTTTCAGTTGATAATTTATTATTTGAATTACTACCAAATGTAGAAGGTGCACTTAATTTAAGTGTATTTCCGCTTGATGTAATTTTTAAATCAACAATTTTATTTATTGATATACTTCCAGTTGTATTACGTCGTCGAGATAAATAAGATGTTAAATCAGATTGTTGATTTTTTGATAAATTTGTATTTGGTGGTGATAATAATAAATTTTCTTTTATATCAATACTTTGTTTACAATTATTTGATGATGTTGAATTTGACCAGGAAAGTTTTGGTGTTGTTGGTGTTGTTATATGTCGACCACCACTAGCATAATTACTAAAATTAATAAATAATCATTAGAAATTAAAAACAAATATATTTTAATATGAAAAATTCTCAATAAAATATGAATTGATATTAAATGCTCTTATCATGACATAGAAAAACGGAAGAAGAATAAATTAAAATTAAAAAAAAAGTGAAAGCTATTCATAGGAATAGAAAAAAAAAAAAAAACTTTTTTCGAAAAGCAGATTGTTTTTTGTTTTCAAAATCAATGTTAAATAAACTTTTTTTTTTTTTATTTTTATCGATTTGTTCATGTTATTAGTAAACTTACGGAGGTGTATCATTTGATGTAGAGACATTATCATCAGACTAAAAAAAAAAAAATTGATTAAGATTTCTTTTTTTGTTTTTTATAAATAATAACTTACAGATAGTGCTGTTGAACAAGGACGAGTTTTAGGACTAAATTGTCGAAAAAGTAATTTTTGAATTAGATTCGGACTTGACGATGGAATTTGACCTTTTGAATCATCTTTATTAGAATAAATAAATTAAAAATAAAATAGGAAATAATTTTATTTTCTTTAGAAACCTGTTGGTGATGTACTTGAATCTCCAGCTGGTAATTCAAGTTTAACAAGAGAAAAACGTCTTATACCACCATGACGTATTCGATTCATTGATGTAGATTTAGAAGATTCGAGATTATTTTCACTAGATAGAACTTCATCAGATGATATATCATACGTTGTTGATTTACGGAACCGACGTCTAAAAAAAAGGAACTCCGTTTTTTTTTTAATATATGATTAAGTTCTTGTGTGCCACTTCTCGCTTGGTTTCTCTAAATTTTTTTCTTTCTTTCATGATGTTTATTCAGGCTATATTAATGGAACAAGGAAAAGACGATGTCAATTCAATGAAGGTAGCAACAACTCAAATTATATCAACTAACAAACATCTTCAATGAGCCAAAATGATGATGCTACTCAAGTGTAATATCACATAGAAAACAGAAACAACAAAAAAGAAAAGACTAGCCATGATTTCAATATTAACTAAAATTGATCATCGAAATAGAAAACAAACAAAAGACAAATTTTATATGTACTCTGTGACTGCGTACCTAACCAATTGATATTTCTAATAATATCAATATATTTATGAATGAAATACCATATATATATATATCGTATATCGTACTAATAGTTTCAACCTGTTTGTCATCAAGTTTAACTTATTGTTGGATATCATGTCATTTAACTCTACTAATAAATTATATTATATCCTTGTCTAAGATCAATTTCTATCATCGATCATAACAATTTCATTAACAATTCTATTTTTATATATTGAAAAAAAAATCTATCTAAATTGATACAAAAAAGATTTTTTTTTTTTTTTTTGTTTTTATAAATGAAAATATCTATGATAATTATAAATGGCATAAAAGAACTCACAAATATTTACTATCTCTAATACCTTCTGGAAATTCAGAAAAGAAGAAGAAAAAAGAGTCTATTAAACGAATAACGATATACTGATAGCAATTTGTATGAGTATCTAACGATCTGTCATTCAAAAGCTTTTTTTTTCTCCCCTTTCTTATCAATGATAAAACAAGCATTTCTAACTTCTAAATGAATACAGTATCTACTAACATAAGAATAATGGAATATGACTAATAATTTTAGTACTAAGAATGTCTTATAAAAGGGTACTCATATGAATGATGTTGAATACAATGGTTCATATATATATATGATGATGATGATAAAAGACTTTATTATTTTCTTTTTCGAAGATTCGACTAGATTGATTTTATAGAATAATTATTTTGCAATGAAATTGATATAGTGTGAATGAAAATGTGCATCCATATTTCACTTTTTTTCTCATCAATCGATTGAAAGTAATCTCCGGAGATATTCTTTAGATATTATATATAAATATAAATTGACTTAATTATTGAAGATGACATGAGGGAAACCAAAAAAAAAAAAAAAAAGAAAATTAATAATGAATAAAGACAAAAACACCGACCTTAAAATACTATGTTGTCTTGTTGAAGTGAATATTTGTTGACAACGATTACGAAAACGAAGAATATTTGAAGGTCGTTTTGGTTTATGTTCAATCTCAGATGATAATGATGATGATGATAATGGAATACTCATATTAGTTAATGAAATGAAAACGAAAGGTGATAAGGAAAAAAACAGATTTGCGTCGTTTGTTTTTTTTTTTTTTTTTTGTTCGAGTGATTATTTCCGTTATTACTATTGCTATGTTGTTGTCATTTTCATAATCATGATTTTTGTTAAAGAAAAAAAACAACGTCCGGTATAATGATAATGATTATGTTCATCAGTGATGCAAGCCAGAGGAGATAAACGATTGAGAAAACAACATATGCAAACATTCAGTATTACTGGTAAGATTATTAACAACAACAAGTTGATTTCCGGCAAGTGAAAAACATGTGTGTATTATATATGTGTCTATGTGTTGATGATGAACGAGTGTGAATGGAATGAATGCGTTTTAGCGTGAACAAATATATTTTTGCCGTCTAATCGTGTCTCATTGTCACGACTATCAGACTTCGAGGAATAAAAAGAGATCGAGCATATTTTTATATATGCAAAAGAGATAGAATTTGTTTGAAGATGAAGCTAAGGAAAGATAGAAACACAAACAGAGAGAGAGAAAAGATATATTGAAATGCACACGCATTTTCTATTTAGACTTTCTTTTTCTTTTTTTTTTTCTTCTTCTTCTTTTTTATCGCTTAAAATAAGTTTTACGTCATTAAATGAAAAAAAAAAAAGCTTTGATCTTTTTTTTTTCCTCTCTCTCTCTCTCTCTCTCTCTCTATTTCCTTGTAACGTAAATTAGAACATGATTGAGTAACCAAAGCATGATTTAAATAGTAAAAGAAGATATAGATTATTTATTATCTTATCTTCAATCTTATATATTTTCAATCTTCCCTTGACAATAAGATGTGATGTGATTAACTATGAAAAATAAAAAAATAAAGATTCACATACATAGAGAACTGACGTTCATCAATTCGATTGATATCGACAAATCTTTTCTTGTTTTTTTTCTTTTTAATAAAAATGAGTTTATATATATATATGAAAGATTCTATTGGATCATAAGGAGAAATTTATTTGACACCTACATAATTTTGACTAGAAAATCATCCATCTTCGTCATTCCAACTAATGAGAACGGAAAAAAAAAATTTTTTTTTTTTTAGCGTATTTTTAACATAAAAAAGAAAGACAAGATTTTCTCTCTCGATACGTTTTTATAGAAAAATAGATTGACAAAGAAAAAAAATCAAAAACAACATATATTTATATATCCATAAACTACTTAGTTTGTTATTTGTTATTCAAGCAAGAAACGTTAATCTATAATCGATTCTTATAGTCTTAAAAGATTTCTTTTCCACTTTCATATAATGGACATGCATGTTTATATATGTTCGCCAAAAAGAAAAACACATATACATATCAAATTAGAAGACAATATAGTAAATTATCATCAATTTGATAGTACTAACGATGACACATTATATGTTGTTATGTAAGTTTATTATATTTTGCTTTACCTTAATAAATAAAAAAAATCTTGTCGTTGTTGAATAATATATAAAGATAAATTTGATTATTGAAGTTTCATTTTATCGATCAAATTTCTCTGCAAACTATTAGAATATAAAATATGGAAGGCATCAACAAAATCTGGCAATACTATTTCTTTGTTTTTTTTTATCGTCTTCTTCGTATAAACTACATAACCTGTACAAGATGAATGCCAACGCTGGCCAATATCAAACAGCCAATCAGTTAGTCAATCAGTCAACTAGCTGTGAATGTCAACAACAGTAACTACAGGAATAACCATCAATCTATCTTCCGCTTTATTTTGATGTTTATATCAGGCACAATACACACGTGTATGTGCATGCATATTAAGGGTCAAACACTTTTTCTTGTTTGTGTTTCGACGCATATTCCAGAATAGTGCATATAATTATTTATATATATACATACATATTCAGAGAAAATATGAATAGGTTTTCTGTTTTTTTATTTTTTTTTTTGTAAATCAAAACAAAAGAAAAGAAGTTGTAAAAACAATCTTATTGTATCCTTAATAATAAATGAAATGATTGTATCATTTGCTTTCTTGTGATGAAAACGTGTGATATTAATAGTAGTATAATAATATGTCTTTATGTCCTTAGGGAAAGTTCTTTCCTTCTCTATTATTATTTTATCGTAACCATAATATTTCAAAGTTCGTTGCTCTATATATGTATCATAAAGTCATAAATAATGACGAAGAAGAAAAAAAAAATGAACTAAATTAATGATTTAGTTAGTTAACATCAAATACATACAATAGCATGACACAATCATCACTATTCAAATCGTTTCTCTTCATTGAGATCGAGTGTACGTCAACTTATATCGATAATTCAAGGTTTTCTTCTCTTTTCCGTCATCACATCAAGGCAATATATATATATTCTTAATCATCAATTGCGTCATCCTATCGACATTCAGTCAAACAAAGATATATATATAGACAAACAGCTACGTGCCATTTAATTGACATAGAGAAATTCATCCAAACATGTGCATAAACAGTCTTAAAAGTCAGATGACTAGACTCATCATCAAGGATACTTACCTAACTATTAGAATATAAAAATCTAAACAATATATATATAATAAATAACCTTCAAAAGAAAAAAGAAAAAGTTTTTTGACTGATCACATACATTTGATAATCTTTTGATGACGAGACGACTGTCTGCCACCTAGATATCTTCTAACTTCAAGCAAATCTAATAAACTGCGAGACGTTACCCACTAGATGAAGACAAGAAAGCAAAATCAAGATAAATGAATAGTGTGAATATATATTGCTCTATTGTCATCAATAGAATTATGATTCATTGGTTTTTACTCAATGATCGTTTGAGAATATAAAGGAAGTCCTACTTATTACACTCTTTTGTTACTTAACAACTAGACAAGCTTTTATTCTATTCAATAGTATATTCATCACTTTTTTATATTCATTGATAGAAATGTCTATTCTTTTGTTACAAAGAATTTTTATTCACAAAACGATCATAATATATAGAAATTTCATCCTAATCATTCCCTTGTTTTTTTCTTTTCTAGAATATATTATAGAGTTCCTTATTAATTGATATTATTAGTATAGATTTAATAGTATTTTGTTGATACATATGTAAATTACGATATTTCACAAAATCATTTTTTTTTCCGCTTAACAGACATACAAATAGACATATTAGAAACAATAAAAAAAAAAAAATATATTCATTTTTAGAAAATACTTATCTAAAACTAAATAAGAACATTTTTACCTTACAGATCAAATTCATCTATCTATTTTTTTCTTATGAAGTACTTATGAATATTTTTGCTACTTTATATATGAAAGAAAAGTCAAAAAAAGAAAAAGCAATCAACAAGATTTTCAATTAACTGACCTCTTATTGTTCGTGACAGTTGTCGTTGATCGTGTCGTTCGGGAATTTTTGTTACGAATACTATCACGCACATATCGAAAGCCACCATTACTAATGACATTTACCATTTCTTGATGTTCTTCAACACCACCAACTGAAGCTCGTTTTTTAGCATTGATTAAAAGAGTATTATTCGATGAACGAAATAACATTAGTGATGAACGACGATGTAATAAAGAACTTCGTTTTTTATAATGATTTTCATTTATGTTTGATGAAGATAAATGAAAATGAGATTTTAAATGTTCTTGCCACCATCGATATAATTTAATCCAATTATCTGTTGCTGACATTTTTGGAAAAAATGTGAAATAAACTAAAAAAAAAAAAAGGTATTTTATATAAATAGAAATAAAAAAGAATACAATTGATTGTTCTTTTTTGATAATCAGTAATGAATGAATGAATAGTGATGCTATTCTTTTTTTTTTTATCTTTGGTCTTTCCGGTTTCTTTTGTCATCAATGAATGAGAACAAGAGAAAGAAAAATAAGAAGAAAAGGCTATATTGTCGGAGTAATTGACAGTGACGACAAGCGAGAAACAGTTCAATACACAGCTATACTCTCATCATTTTCTCTATACATATAACACACATCCCTTCAGTGCACATAATTGCTACTCGTGTCGACAATACGCCAAAAGCAATGAGAGAGAAAGACACAAACATAAATCAGAAGTGACGTATTCCTTCACTCTATACTGTGGAACCCGTTAAAAAAAAAGGCAAGATTGAGCTAGTACCATAAATTATTTAGAAACAGGCAAATGACCTTTATCTTAGTCGCGCAACATTGAATCACTTTTGAACTCAACTTGAACAGAAAAAAGAACTCATGTGAAATAAAAAGAAAGAAAAAAAAAATCTAAGCTGCTTCCGGTGTAAAGAAAAATAGAAAGAATAAGAGTGAACTTAGTGCTTGTTGCTAAGAACGTGTAGGCGGATCGGTTCATATCAGAAATAAGTAGAGAAGAATAATTACATCACAACACTAATCGTCAGTCAACCAAATAATGAACGGAACAAAGCCGGACGTTGAGCTCAATTTCCTCTTATTTTCCAAAACGAAAGATAAACTGTCCTTCGTCATACATGCATGCATCTTTATGACAGATGAGTATAAAAAAAGATGATAGAAGGTTCAGGGTAGAAGAAATGGAGGCGTCGACCTTTGGTCTGTTTGATATCGAATTATTGTCTTTCATATCTACCAAGGGAAACAGATGGGTACAATGTTAATTGTGCCAATAAATAACACTATGAAGCAGTCGAGATCAAGGCGAATAAGAAAAAAAAAGAATGCCAGCTACATGCGGATTTATGATATCTATCAATCGGATTGCAAGTGTATATGTGTGTTGACGACTATTATCATCACAAAAAGAAAAACCACTGAGGTCAATAAGCTCAACTTGATGTAGTCCTTCTTCTACTCCTACATAAAAAAGTTTCTATCGCTTGAATACTTATATATATATTTATATTTCTAAAAATAGTCAAACAATTTTTTCTTACATAAACAGTGATAACATCAACAAGCAAATATTTCGTGCTTGTCGATTTGACAGGAAAAAAGACTAGACAAATTCCTATTCACTAAAGATTATTATTCTTGTTTGTGTCTTACAAAAAAAAAACCATTTTTCTACTAATTATCGCTATTTATAAAGAAACAAAAATATATCGTCATTACTTATTATAAAAAGATGTTAGAGATGAATCATGATTATGACGTAGTTATACAAGGCATTATGATGACTCAATTGGAATTTATATGTATATCATATTGTCCCATGACTATGTTGTGTAGAATTTGTTAATTAGTTTTAAGTCAATCTTATGAATTATTAAATAAGAAATCTGGAAAAACTTTTTTCTAGTTACATATACTTCAGTTTTTGCAAGTGAATTAACTATATTTTGTTTTTTTTTTTTGCTTTAATTTAATAGTAAATATACATACATACATATATATTTTTTTTTGAAAAAGTAATTATTAGTTTTACGAACAAGATTACCATGAATTATGTGACAATGAATTTCATACATATCTTTTTATTATGACAGAAATGTATCTTTTATAAATATATATATATATCATATTGTGACATGAAACGAGCAGTTGATTATTTATTTTATCTCCAACAATTCATGTTGAGTTTTTTTTTTAATCATGAATGGTAAGATGAAGAAAATTTCTCATTTAACAATTCACTAATATCAAATGATAGTCACTATAACAACTATAAAACAATGTATTTTGACAAAATTACATATTAGTAAAAATTTTTTCAATAATAATTTCATCATCGATCGATAGTACATATAGACATATCTATGCTATTTCTTTTTTTTTTTCTATAAGTTCATAATAGTATTTCATTCAATCACACGTCTGATAAAATGAAAATTGATGGGAATTTTAGTAACCTTCAGTCTATCCGATTATTAATGAAATTCCAAATGGTATTATTAGGTCTTAACGAAAGTCTATATAGCCAGAGGATAGACGACAAATGCTTAAGTCAATAACATTATATGTATATAAATGCATACGAGTACTTGCCTTCATAGCAATTGCTTTCTTTTTTTTTTTTGTTGTCTATTTAATATTTGCAGTAACGAGTCATGCATAAAGAATGAGTTACTTTTGTTTTATATCGTTTCATATTGTTGAAATGCTTTAAGGAAAAAATAATCTTAAAATCTAAAAAAAAATAAGAAAATATTTTTTTTTTTTTGCTTTAAAAGACATTAGATTGATTAATGTAAAAAATCAAACTTAAAGTACATACACAACTCGAGAATGTATCCTACAACATCTTTATTATGTTTTCTTTTTGCTTCAGTTAGAATTAGTTTAATTAAACCCATCTTTTCTTGTTTTGATCGGATTCATCTGTCTTGTATACAATTCTTATCATATAGTAAATTAACATAATTATTGATTGTCAAGTTCATCAATATGGAGATGATCTTTTTTTTTTTATTTCAAACGAAAAACAAAAAAATTGGATTTTGTTGAAATGTTATTCTTATTCATCGATCAAATAATAATCTTTTTATATGTAGATTGGTAGTTCAATAAAGTTCTTTTATCATAATTTTCTTGTCGAATATCATGTTTTAATATTCATTATTAACTTCATAGTAAAATTTAAAAGAATTATTTTTAGATAGGTTGACGAATCGATTTACCTTTCTTGGTTGATAAAGAATAGTTTTTAATTTCCAACTTCATAAAAACAAAAAAATTCAATTGTTTTTTTAATCGAGAAATTTATAGAGAAGAATAAAACGGATTTGATGAACATTGTCAATCCATTGATTAACCAAAGCTTTTAACAAATGATTAACCCTTTGGCTATCGCTGATGCATATATGCATCATGAACTTTATCAGTGTCGAAAACTAACACAATCAATCGTAGTGCATGTTTTTTTTTAGATTCGCTTGCATAGAAATAAGCATCTTGCAGCTGAAGCTGGTGAGAATAATAATAGTATGTTCTAGAGTCATGCCTTAAAAGAAGGACTATGCATAAGGAACAGTCAGTTTATTGTACATATGGTTATCTGTTGTTCTGTTTCTTCTTATTCAAGAACTCATTATAAAGTTTGCCTCCAAGAGGTCATATAGTGACAAACTATTGGTTACTCATCCATTAGGATTGACAGCTGGGCATTTATTGTTTCTAATTCCTCCGAATGAAAGCAGTCAGATTTCTCGAAGATATTATGTTTGCAGCATTACAGAAAAACATGTGAAGGAACGGAGCGATACGCACTACCAGTGTTGTATAAATCCGATCAAAAATAAATAGCTATAATGATTTTCTAAAGAGCTTTTTTTCTCTCCTCCTTATGTCAATAGTCAAACGGTTAAAGAATCTTTTTCTAAACTTGAATATTAAGTGCTTTATATGAAAAATGATACAGTACAAATTTCTATAGTTTATATATATATATGAAGATACAATTCTTTACAATTAGATCGTTCATATTTTTTGTAGAATATAAAATTGTTTACCTTTTGTTTTTTATTCTAGAATAATATCTTAAAACTTTGAAAAATTTTAAATTAAAGTGATTTATGTTTTATGCATTCCTTATTAAAAATGAAATATCTTAAATAAAATATATTCAATTTTTGAAAGGACTTAATTGATAAAGATAATTAATAATGCATAGATGACGTTATTTAAAATTTCAAAGAAAGATGAATTTCTTTTTTTTTGTAATAATTGAAAAAGAAAAACGCAGATTTTATAAATATAACTTGATCGACTAAATCAATACATTTCATTGTACTCACTGATTAATTTATATTGATCAAAAAATTTTCTTTTTATTAATAAAAAATCTGTCTCTATATAATTTCTAGAAAGATTGCTTTCATATCGGTTCAGTTGATTGAAATCCTATGATGAACTTCTAATGTTTGCATAGAGTCAATCAATTTTTTTCATTGAACTAGAAATCGATCATGATTTATTATTAGATCTAATCTCATCAATTGAGAGTAGAACTATGAACCATTATAGAAGAACTCTCATCATTCAATTCTGTTAGCCTTGATTCATATAAGATTCACATATTTTCTCTCTTATTACATCATATGTTTCTTGAAATGCTTCAGGCATACTCAATCAAATGTTCTTTTCTTTTTGTTATATGACTTCAATGAAAGCAAAAAAAAAAAAGAATAAGACTAAAACAAAATTTTTATTAATGATAATAAACTTTTATATTGAGATTGATTAAGGAAGAAAAAAAATTCCATCACATTAAGTCCAATTTCATTATTTACTAAAAACAATAGGATATTTCATGAAACTTTTCTATTGTAAACGCTATCAAGATTATCTAGGTCAACAAATCAGACGTAAGATCAGATAAAATCTTACACTAAATCATACTATAAGATTCTTGAAAGATTTTATCGTAACATGAGATTTTCTAAAATCTTACAGTAAGATTTGGCAAGACAACAAGATCTGCCAAGAGTCTTACAGGAAGAATTGATGTACGATTCATACCAAATCGTACAAGATCATATCTGATCAGACGCAGAATCCTGTCCGATCTTAGTGTCTGATTGTTTGCTCTGGGTAATGATATGTTACAAGGCAACAAGATCTTTTTAAGAATCTTATAATAAAACTTAACATAAGATTTTTTAGACTATAATTTTCTGTACAGTATTCATCTGATATTACAAGATTAAAGATATGATCTTGTAAGATTTTATCATCTGATTATTTGACTTGGATTGCTATGAAATAGAGACATT